ATCATTAATTTTTGTGTTTGTAATTTCAGATAAAATAGAAATTGTCTCGGGAATACCGGGTAATAATTTTTATTGTACTCTATGAAAGCGTTTTGATACAGTTGTTTGATATTCTTTATGCACACAAGATTTTTGTTTTAATTTCAGAACTTCAAAATGATGACCCATATGAAAGTAAAAGCCCCTTTTTATATTTTATTTTTATTATACGTATTGTGTATTTATTACTTATAAATACTTCTAAAATAACCATTTGTATCTATTAAGTATTAACAAATACCAATATGAATCATCAGTTCCAATCATAAAACAATATGTAGGTACATTAAAATGTATTTTGTATTAAATTTTAGAAGCCAATACTCTTTTCAAAGACTTCATACAATACATAGAAAAATTATTAGGTAAACATACAATAAAAAAATGAATGGTTACATACATTTGTAGTTTTTAAGAAATTCTCAAGCTAAATGACGTGTTTTATGTTTAAGGTTTTAAAAAATCATTCAAAATATAATTTAAACCGTTTATTTAAACATCGCTATAAGATAAAAATTTAACATTTATACAATAATATTTTGCATTAGTTAATATTGATCTAATTAACCTCAGTTATAGAGTGAATGTTATGTATAAAATATAAACCGGGTTTTATTAACTGTATAATGGTTTCATGTGTTTGTTACAGGATTTAGATATGAAGAAACTTATAATAGTGGTAATTACGAATTTCTTACAGTCGTAAATAGCCTTAAAAGCTTGTTTTTATTTATTTAATGTGTTATGTCAAATAATTGTTTTAATGAAATAAACTTTTTGTTGAGGAGAGAGAGAGAGAGTGTGTCACTACAGTGTTAATTTGTAATACATTTTTTGAGATTTCAAGTATAGAAAGAATATATTTGATGAGTTTTAACACTAATAAGTGGTTGTACATAAAGTTAGTTATATCACAATTATTTGAAATGTAATGCAAAAATTATGCATAAAGAGCGACTAATATATTATTTATTTATTCGCAATAAGGACATTTAATAACTTTTTTCATAGATTTGGGAACATTGAAAACAATTGCTAACAAGGGAAGAGATTATGTTTCTATATCTTTATTACGTATACTCGAACGTCGTGTATTAAGTAAATATTATTATGGAGTTGTTCGGTTTTATTATATACACAATAAATATATATATATATATATATATATATATATATTTATATACACACATATATATATATTTGTTTTAAAGTTATTTAATAGGGACAATGATACAACTGAATTTAATTTTTAACAATTTACCAAATAAATTATAACTACTAACACGTGCTTACATGTAATACAAAATATAACATGGCTGTACAATACGACACCATGTTTATTGTATTATTATTTTTATGACTTTGTATTAACAAATAAAATAGTTTTGTTTTGAACCATTAAGATAAGTAGTAACTGGTAAACTAATATTAGCAAAAAAATATTTTCTAATTTTTGATCAGGAGTTGTGCAGCGTGTAAATGATCCCTTTTTGCCAGCGAAGTGTCGTTTCATTGGATTATACTTGAGTACCCAATCTCCAGAGTCTTACCTAAAAGCACTTGAGTTTAACTTAGCTAACTGTACATGTACCTTTACGGACAAAAATGATGGCAAAATGAGGTACGGTTATATTCAAGGTAAATGGTCTCAAATAAGTTTAGACCTAGGCCGACCACTAGAATCACTCCAGAACCAGTTACTACGTGTACGTCCACAAGAACCACCCACGTTCTAACCTAGTGTTAGTTCAACACTGGCATCTATGTTCTATTTATTACATAATATATCATAATTTATCTTATTATAATTACTATATACATTATAAAACCTGATTTTTTTAAATATTATACATATCCCTAAGCTGACGGCAAGTGAACCGTCGGTGGATTTTTTCAATAACATTTTCCACATCAATACATTTTTTTGTTAGTGCACAATATTGTATATCTATTTCTGTTTTATGACATGTCTACCAATATAATAAACAATTACCGAATTAGTAAAGTTGCCTTTTTTATCTAATCTATTCCAACTATTTATTTATCCTTCTATATCATTTCCTTATTGTTCTACCTATTATCAAATGACTGTGCAAACTTGGGTGACAGGTTCATTGTTTATATTTCCAATGGAAAATTCATCTCAATGGTTGTTATATAGAGATTTTATGCTACAGGTGACATACCCTAAATGGAGTTATAGTGTTGAGTGACTAAATAAGTCAGTGTAGAATATATTAAACAAATAGCTAGTTGTGGAAAAAAATATCCTGGTTGGTTAACCACAGTGGTATTGGATTGGCTTAAATATGATTTAAATAAGAACAATGCAAACAATTGTATGTAACTACAATGGTTCTACTTCGAATTAGATTATATTCGTCAATTCGTGGCAAATGACTGATAAAGCAATGTTGGGGTAACTACAAGTCACAAGTGGCATGCAACATTCGTGGTAACGGTAGCAACCCAGGAAGTGCAGTGGCGTGGTGGCGTGGTAGTAACCTTACTGTTATCAGTTATCACCCGACCGCCAAACTGTTATCATGATATAGCTTGATAAAATCATGTTTTTGCTCTTCGATAACTCATTCGTGTACGGTGTTACATGTGGCGATATTTTGAATCTTATTCGGAAATAATAAAAATAATATAATTTATGTTAGAAAGTAGAATAATTATTCGCTAGTCAATAGTTATGCCACCGAAAAAAACTAAAAAGTCAAAAAATCAAGATTGGGATAGTGATAAAGGTAAGAATGTCTCGCTTTGTTGCTTATAACATTATAATTAATATGCTACAAATTATTTTGGTATTATAATAATTATTACTAGTTGCACTTGTTACGAGTATCTATAGTCGATGAATTCTCTTAATGTATTTTACAATTTTTTATAGATTGAATTAAAATATAAATGTTACGCTGATGTTCGTCATTAACCTCTTTAATCTATTAAAATCTAATTTATATTTATTGTATTTCTGTTTCCATCAGATGAAGTAACAAATGAGATTTTACCGAAAGAAAATTATGCTGTTGATGATGAACCAATTATTAAACAAAAAAAAATACCAAAAAAAAGTAAAAAAAAAAATAAAAACCAAGATTGGGATGGCGATTCAGGTGTGTAATTCACATAATGTTTATCAATTATACAAATTTTGCTGATGTTTACTGACCTTTTTAACACATTGGAGACCAAACTACTTTTATAACAATGCTACATTCAGGACGGGTGCCGTGTCTAACGCGGTCTGTTTTTTTTTTTTGTGTACTGGAGACGATAATATTTTTATACTACTGTTACGTGCCACACTAAACACAGCATTTGTCCTCAACAATGTTGCCGATATTATTATTGCCATCTCCTATAGTGAATTCTAAAGACCGCGTTAAACACGGCCGTCGTCTCCAACGTGTCAATCGACTATAATCTATACTTTATATTCACCTATTTTTTTTGTATTTGTATTTCTTTCAGATGAAGTAACAACTGAGATTTTACCGAAAGAGGATTATGCAGTTGATGATGAACCAATTATTAAACAAAAAAAAGTACCAAAAAAAAGTAAAAAAAAAAATAAAAACCAAGATTGGGATGATGATTCAGGTGTGTAATTGACATGATGTTTATCAATTATAAAGATTGATTGTGTATCACAGCTTTATAAAATGATATGTTAAGAAATTTGGCATACATTTACTTTATCGGACACTGTTTTTGTTGTCATTTTTTTTATTTATTTAACGCTTATTGTGTTTTAGATTCTAATAAGGGAGAATTTTCAGTAGAAAAAAAAACTGAATTAGATGATGAAAATTTATCCAAAGTAGAAGCAAACGATGATGTTGCAATTACAAAAAATGGTATCTTTTGAAGTGCTTATTACTTCTTATATTAATAAGTAACGTAAAACATATAATTTTTGTTATAGAGGATTTAGTTGCTGATGTAAAGTCAGAAGACTTAGGTAAACCGAAAAGTACTGGAAAAATATCAAAAAAGAATAAAAGGAAACAAAAAGATTTTGATTTAGAAGATGAAGGTTAAATATCTTATTTAATATATATATTACTTGTGTGTTTATTTTTATGTAGATACTCTTGTTTTAGAAGATCAATTTGTTGAAGAATTTTTAGTTGAAAAAAAAACCGAGTTAAATAAAGTCGAATTAAAAACCGAAGAAAATGTCGATGTAGAAGTAAACAAAAATATTGATATTGTTGACGACAATGGTAAGTTAAAATTTTTTTCTGTAGAAAAAATTGTTTTTAAAACTTTTTTCGCTAGTTTGTCCAAAAACTAAGCGCACATAACATAGTGATGACTATATTGACGTTTTGTCTACAGTTCCTTCTGTGAAACAAGAAGACATAATTAAATCGAAGAATACTGGAAAAATATCAAAAAAGAATAAAAAGAAGCAAAAAGATTTTGATTTAGAAGATGAAGGTTAAATTGTATTTCATAGTAGTTTTAATGTTACCATATTCTTTTTGTATTTAAAGTAATTGTGTTTTAGATTCAAATGCGGGAGAAGTTTCAGTAGAAAAAGTAACTGAAGTAGATAAAGACAAAATAAATAATGAAAATATATCTAAACTAGAAGCAAACGATGATGTTGCAATTACGAATGACAAAGGTACTAAGTATAATATCGTGTCTATAAATGGTATACTTTGAAATGTTTTCTACTTCTTATATTAATAAATAACATTAAACTAATATTCAATAATTATAGATGATTTAATTGCCGAAGAATTACCTCAAGGAAATTCTAATAAATCGGAGAAAATAATTAATACTACAACAGTATTAAAAAAGCATAAAAAACATACGAGTTTAGAAGGTTAGTTTTTATTTTATTTTATTATTATAATAATGACACCCCTCGGGGCAAGAGTTGGGACACAGTTTAACATAGAGAAATACTAGGTAACAAAAAAATCAATAACAAATTCAACCCGAGTAATTTAAAACACACTTACGCGTATCAGACACCAAGCAATTTAAACTACTAAATGAATTACAAGAACCCAGCATTCTATCCATCGGGTTATGACAACCGTAGTTTTGGCGGTGAGAGGGTTTTATTAAGACTAGGTACTTTGAGTCCTATTCTCATAAGTCACTCACGACAAACAAGAAATACATTTAAGAATTACAAAATACACACAGTATCATTAAATAGTCTCCCAATAGCCAGAGAATTAAAATGGTATATCTTTGAAACATTAATCTGGGCATTTTCAGATGTAAAAAAATGTGTGTCTTAAAAACAAGGAAATAAATTCTTAGACACTTTCAAGCATTTGTATCATGCCTTGTTGACTAGAGTTCCAAACTGTTAAGTTTTAATGTATATTTTTTTACGGTTTATATTTGAGACTCTTAAAAGAATTAGGACCCATTTAAATATTTATTTTTTATTTTACATCAACATATTATAATATAAAAAATTGTTGATAACAAAAAAAGTTTTTTTAAAAAATTGAAAATAGGCCCTTGTTTATATAAGTGTCTTACTTGTGTTCAACTGTTCGGTTACAGGTGATGCCGTTATTGAAGACGTACTAGTAAAGAAAATAGCTGAAGTTAAAATAAACAATGAAGATGTAGCTGTAGAAGAAAATACTAATTTAATTAGTACAAATGAAATAGGTAATATAATGTGTTTTAAATATTAACCTCGTCGTAATTTATGGATGGTTGGACGGTAAACTATGACGACGGTACCTCTGTTGACTGCGTGTGCCGCATACAATCGGTGTGTAGCACCGTTTGATCTGTATACTTTTAAAATCAATACTTATAAGGGAGTAATAACAATAGTCAAACTGATTTTATTTTATTAACCTAAACCAATACATCTGTGTAATTTATTTTTAGATTCCACCTCAGATGTGAAGCTAAAGACCACAGCTAAAGAACCCAAGGCTAAGTCGTCTAAAGAAAAAGAAATTAAAACTGATAAACTATCTCACAAAGAAAAAAAGAAATTAAAAAAAGATGTAAGTTCTAAAACTTAAGTTTCAATTAAAGTAAGTAGAAGTATATTGTTCTGTTCATAGTTTCATCATCAAATTGTACGTTTTAAAGTTGAAAAATGATTAATAAACCAAAAATAAATCGGCAGAAACGTACTTTTGTCGACAAATAAATGATCAGAAACACGATGTAACAGAGCTGTACTTCTACTAAAATATATATTTACAGAACAGTATTACAGCCGATAAATACTCGAGTCGGAAATAAATCGGCAAAACAGTTTTTTCATTGAACACTATTTAAGGCGATAATTAATTGATCAAACACATGAACTAGCCAA